AACTGCATTTGATACAGTTGATCACACTATACTGCACATGAAACTTCAAGCATCTGCCATAGGAAATGACATTCTTACATGGTTCAAGTCTTATCTCTGATAGACAGCAGCTGACGGATGTGGTTGGTACTACTACAGTTCTACTACTGCTCCGAGTACCTATGGTGTCCCCCAGGGGTTCAATTTATGTCCCCTTTTATGTATAATGTATGTCAATGACATGTTGCATTCCTAAGCAATAAGCTTTTATGATATGCTGATGACTTAGGTATCCTTGAATCTGGTAAAATAAATCTGAAAAAATTCTATCTTATGGCATGAGTCTTATAAGTGATTGGTTAATCGACTGTAAATTGTCTTTGCATCTTGGCAAGACAAGTGTATTCTTTTGGGTTCAAGCTTCAACTTAAACAGGATCCTAGCGTCCAGGTCACATGTAATGGTACTGATATAAAGTACAAATCTTCTGTTTAAGATATACTATGCTTAAATTTGATATAACAAATTATTGGTAATTGCTACACAGTCTCTTTTTAAATATAAAAATGTTTTGACTTCACACAAAGTAGATATTTCATGTTCAAAACTCTAAACACTATAAGTGGTCACATAATAAGTTAATGTATAGAATATATCACATGTTTCTGTCAATCTGATTTTTGTAATCAATCTATTATATATTTGGGCTTAACTTTCCTGTTATAGCACATTTTATTAATGATTCATTATTTATATATTATCTTTTTTATGATTCATTAATAAATCATGAACAAGTTGTAATAAATCGAAAAAAAACACATGATTTTTTCTAGATTTATTCACAACTTTGATATAATTTGTTGTTGTCTTTTTTGTTTGATTGCAAATAAAATAGTACTTTTTCGTCTTAATCTAATGACATATGAATTAAAAACATATGTTAAGTGATTTCAAAACAAGTTTTCAAACATTTACCATAGTCGGCATTACAGTGGCGAAAAAAGAAAATGTGATGAAAAAACTATAACGTCCGTCCCACTCTCATAAAATATCCATTTATGAAACTATACTCATAAAAACAATGTTTATGGTGCTTATTGATAGTTTTTAATATGAAAATGTTACAAAAATTGTCTTCTATGTTAATGATAAAAAATACAATAATGTAAAAGTTGTCTGTAACATCCGTCCCCATAACATCTGTGCTCCTATATAACTCAAAATTTTACACAAAACACCAAAGTTACAATAAAAAATGAAGAAATAACAGAAATTAAGGATTACATGTAAAATGATGTATCCATATAAAAATTATTATTTGTATACACCAAATTCCTTGATTTTGAAAAAAAATCAGTATGTTGGCTATGAAAACAAAATTATTTACTCTGAAATAAAATTAATATGTTTTATTTTTACATCCAGTGAACATATAAGCTTATTAAGATGATTGTTAATGCTATTTAAGCTCAAATGAATTTGGACACATATAATCTTTTGTTTTTTTGTGTTTTCAAAATAAGGGTACAGAAGGGGACGGATGTTACAGAATTGAACTAATGATTATGCAAAAAAAGTTGTGTACACATTTTTACACTAAGAAAAAGCAACGTAATTTTATAGAGTGATGGTTGAAAAACCTATATGGTGGAAAATGACATTAAAAATATTATATTATCATAATGGAATATGATACTCTATTAATTTCTTGCAGGGTAGCCAGGTACAAAATAAGTGGGCATTTTTTAAAAAAAAATATTTTAATCCCTTTTGTATCAATAGAAGATTAAAAAAGCATAAGAAAAAGTAAAGCACAACTGGAAAAGTCACATTATATGTATATGCTGATAACAACAAGGGCAATTAATAAATACATTAAGACAAAACATCAAATCTCATATTTTAGTAACCTAAGTAGAATATAAAGACGTAGGTTTTGGTTGTTTATATTTTACATAATTTTAGTAAAAAAAAGGTGAATTCAACTAAATTCCATATCAAATCTTTCTACTAGGATAAAACAAATAGAGTAAACAGCAGTGATTCACCAGAATTGACATTGACCGTCTAGTCTTTTAGACATGTACCACCATCGAATACCCGTGTTAGAACTCTGTATTATTCATTTACCGTTCGACATTACAACCCGTAAGCCGTTTATGGTTCAACATTATTTTTTTCCTTACGAAAACGTTTTCAAAAAGAGAAAGATGATAATATTTAAAATGACATTACAATTTAGTTTAGTCTGTTTCATTTAAAGCAAAATATAATCTGATTTTTAACCATGTAGGTATATAAATCTAGGCATTGAAATCAAACTGTTTGATAACTACGGAACTTAATAAAATAGCTACCTCAGTACAACAAGAGGAAATATCGTATAGAAACGTTTGACGATTTCTTAATTCCAAATTTTACAATTTCCAACTCGCAATTTTCAGTGCCGTCCATAAACAGGCTCAATCTATCCAAGCCTGCAACATATTCAATTTTGCTGTTTGGGCTTCTTTTGGGATTCTGTTTTTTGTGCTCCCACTATAGCGGGGGGGGCATATAGATTTATCATTGTCTGTCCGTCCCTCCCTCCATCCGTCCGATTTCATTTTGTGTCGCACGAAGCTCTAAAAGTATTTGACATAGAGTCATGACACTGTACATGAATGTTGCTCAGCATGTGTTCACGTGCGCCTGTGTAATTTTCTGTGGTTGCAGAGTTATTGTCCTTGATTTCGTAAAAAATTGCAATTTTCAACTTATGTCGCACGTAGCTCAAAAAATAACGTATTTAACTAGGTTCATAAAATTTAACGGGAATGTTGGTCAGCATGTGAAGTTGTGCATCTGGATTTTGGCTTGTTCTTCAGTTTTGTCAGAGTTATTGCCCCTGACTTAGTAACAATTTTGTAATTTTTAACTTGTGTCGCATATAGCTCAAAAAGTTTTTGATCATGAGGCATGGAGCTTCACAGCATATGTAGTTTTGCACCTGGGATTTTGCTTGTGGATATATTTTGAATTTATCAAAGTTATTGCCCGTGACATAGTAAAAAAATGCTATTTTAAACGTTTGTCACACATAGCTAAAAAGTATTTGACCTAGGGTCTTGAAACCATACAGAAAAATTGATCAGCATGTGAAGTTGTGCACCTGGAGTTTCGCTTGTGGGTTTGTTTTTGTTTTTGTAAAGTTATTTCCCTTGAAATTTTTTGATTTTTAATGTGTGTCATGCATAGCTCAAAATAATTTATTTAACCAAGGGTCATGAAACTTGACAGAAATGTTGATCAGCATGTGTGGTTATGTACATGGGGTTTCTCGTCTGGGTTTATCCTGTACTTCTAGAGTTATGGCCCTTGACTAAGTAATAACCGTTCCTCTATGTTTTTTTATTTGTTCCTTGAGTGCTTGAGTTAAAATCAACCACCTTTACAGAAATAATGATCAACATCACTTTGAAGCTATGCACCTGGGGTTTTGCATGTGTTTTTTTTTTCAGTTTTGATAAAGTTATTGCCTTTGATTTAGTATAAATTTGCAATTCTCAACTTGTTTATGTATAGCTCAGAAAGAAATTTGACCTGTAGGCCTGAAAGTCTACAAGAATGTTGGTCAGCATGTGAACTTATGCACTTACGGGGTTTGCTTGTGAATTTATTCAGTATTTGTAATGTTCTTGCCCTTAACTAAGCAAAACATTTTTGGTTTCCAACTTTTTGCACATGTAGCCCAAATTATTTGGCGTAGAGTCAGGGGGCACCTGTGTCCTCTGGACACATTTTAATTTTATTTAGAATCGGTTTGTTCAGCAGATCTATGATGTTTTGCAATGACAATCGCACCCAAATACATAGTCGCTGACCTGTCAAGATTGAATTATTACAATACTGGCATACTGACCTTGACTTTTTACCTTCAAATTATAAAATTATACAGCTTCCATAAAGGTTTTCACACTTACTAAACAAAATTAAAAACAAAATCATCTCATGGTAAATTATATGGTGTAGGTTTGATTCTAGACATTTGGGATCTCATATTCCTCACATAGATTTATTGTCCATAAAAATGACCTGTAATAGTTAAAACTCATGATAAAACTACAATTGAGGTATTCAATATACCTACATATTGTGTACAGTTCTACATGTTGCTAAAATCATTATTATATCTTTAACAGTCATTCTTACAGAAATCACTTTACTTTTTTGTGTCCATTTTGAAATAAAAGATGACCGCCATAGAAGTCAATTCATGTAAATCATGTTTAATTTTCATTGTTTACAAGAATAACCACATAAAGAATTTATCATTTAACCTAGACAGATCTTTTTGTGGAAAAAAATACTTCAACGTAACTTTTCCAAAATTGAGAAACATTCATGATCGTTTTTATCTACATTTATGGCACCATAGCCGGAATTTCCTGCGAATTGCCCTTCACTTTACAGTTTAAAGTTACAAGCAAATGCTTCGAAACAAATACAACCTTTAGAGTTAAAAAGTTAAAGCCTTTATCGTAAGTTCATTCTTTTTCTTAAACAGGTTTTTTGGCTATGAATACTTGATACCTAAAGACATGACAGTAGTTTAAACTGCATTTACAATATTTATAAACGCAATGAAAATTATAAATTGATGTATATTTGCCACCTGGAAATAGACTTGTAATGTTATCTGATATTTGAGCTTATCAGTAATTAATGTGGTCAAGATGTATATTTCCCTTCATTTTCCATAGTAAATTGTAGTATTTAAAACAGCAACCGTGTGTATAATTGCCTTCTATAGTCACTTGACGGGCTTGTCGATACAATTTAATTCTAGTGGTGCAAGTTTATGTTTCATTGCTTACAAACACGTTCAGACCACCGTGTTTGAACGAGTACTTTTAATAAAGCCAAAGATTCAGTAAATATTTGTAAACTTGAAACGTTCCATGTCATCTGAATGCAAATAACATATTTTCGTATTTTATTATTATTCTAAATAAAACTTTAAGCTTGCGTTTTATTTACAGCTAACTTTACCTAGCACACTTGAAAATCATATAGCGAGATTACGAAGTGAAGAAGATCTTCAAGCAGGATTGATGATTATGTTGCAGGATGGACAGACGGTCGTTAGATTATTTTCGGAGTTGATGGCGAATGAAGGCAGGTCAGTTATTGTAGGAGAGAGAGAGTTGTTATTCGTTCGAAACTTGAACGATGTTAACATTAAAAAGTACAAAACAACTTTAGAGAAATTCAAAAAAGGACTGTTACCTATTCAGGTGAAGCTTCGTGGGTTGCTTATGATTGTTCAGGCAAATATAGAATCTAGTAGGGAGAAAACACAAAATAGTAAGCGGGTCCTGAATCAAAAACGTGACAGGTTTAAATGTGTAGTTGAACTTGTACAAAATGCGGAAAAAACAATAGCCGGATACGAGACAGCTGCCTCTAATTACGAATGCAAAGCCGACAACTTGGAAAAGTCATCTAATAAACATATTGGCAGATCTGTAGCACACGCTGGAATAGGTGTATTTAGCGCAGTTCTCGCAGTCGGTGTCGGTGTAGCTCTTGCACCATTTTCAGGTAAAATTAAAACTACATATTTATCATTCTTCCATATTCGGTACTTTTTACTTCCATTGAATTTATACATGCATTGTTGTTGTTACTTTAAAATGTAAAAACCAAATTTATATAGTTAAACGAGTAGTCGTTTAGGGTGGGGTATGTTTGCAATTGTTTGTAATGACTTTCAATCAACTTTTGATTTTTTTCTGATTATTTCATAATCCTACATATGACATCTACGATATCGCAAAAAAATGTAAGACAATTTACTTTTTATAAGCTATTATGATGCCAATGTAGACAAAACAATACGGGTTTGTGTTAACGTTCATTTTTTAAATTGTTTAGCAAGGTGATGTCAAAAGCACAGTAAACGTTTGACGGATATTTGACAAATGAAAACATACATTTCCTTAAAATAAATTTTGGCTTTTAAATAGGAAATGGAAATACATTAATTATCTTCAAGACCAAGAAAATAACCTTTTTAGCAGGTGTTAAGACAGACCACTAGATTAAAAAAACAGATGCTAACACATTACAGGTAAAATTGGGCAATTTTATGGTATAAAAATGTCTGTATCCACATTTTGGGTTACGGTATCATAAAAAACTTTTGGGCACATTTGCTTTATAGTAAGTTCTTTGTAAAAACACAAAAAAGTAATTGCAAAAATAATATATTGTTTGAAAAAGCCTGCATTACATGTATTTTTGAAAAATTGGCCTATTTACTGTGCAGCAGGCAAAGGTTAAATGAAAAAATAAGACCGGTAAACAATTTCGTCGAGACTGATTGGAATTATCATGGGAAGAACGTTTGTCATCCCTTTAATTTAGAGGTCATGATGTATGCTCAAACGTAGTTTCATGAAGAATTGAAATTAGATCTTTAATGAAAATATTTACCTATGCATATATATGTTTACCATTAAATTTGATAACAATTCAGATACAAATGTAAGGTCACATTTGGCATGCATCACATATGTCAAATCTGGTGTTTTGTGCTCATATAGAAGTAAGAAGTCATAGAATCTTATTTTTGTGCCCCAACTATATATGTGGGGCATTTAGATTTACCTTTCTCCGTCCATCCGTCCCGTACGTTCTCATTTTGTGTCGCACATAGCTCACAAAGTATTTGACCTAGAGTCATGAAACTTTTCGTTAGGATTTATTTAGTATTTGAAGAGTTGCCATTGACTTAGTAAAATTTGCAATTTTCAACTTGTGTCGCACGTGCTTAAAAAGTATTTAACATAGAGTCATAAAACTGTACATGAATGTTGCTCAGTATGTGAAGTTGTGCACCTGGGGTTTCGCTTGTGGATTTATTCTGTTTTGTCAGAGGTATTGCCCTTGACTTAGTAAAAAAATTGCAATTTTCAACTTGCGTCGCACGTAGCTCAAAAAAGTATTTGATCAAAGGGTCATAAAACTTTACAGGACTGCATATGATCAGCTATGTAGTTGTGCACCTGAATATGTTTATTTGGATTTATTTAGTAAAATAGTTTTTGTAGAGTTATAACCATTTGACTTAGTAAATGTTTTGCAATTTTCAACTTGTGTCGCACGTATCTCAAAATGTATTTGACCTAGGGTCATGAAACGTTACAGGAATGTTGATCAGCATGTAAAGTTGTGCACTTGGGTTTCGCTTTATTCTGTTTTATCAGAGTTATTGCCCTTTACTAAGAAAAAATTTGCAATGTTCAACTTGCGTCGCACATAGCTCAAAAAGTATTTGATCTAGGGACATTGAACTTTACAGGAATGTCGATCAGTATGTAAAGTAGTGCACCTTTTGTTTGGCTTGTTGATTTATTCTGTTTTGTCAGAGTTATTGGAAATTTGCAATTTTCAATTTATGTCGTGCGTAGCTCAAAAAGTATTTAACATAGAGTCATGAAACTTAACACGAATGTTGTATTTCCTTTCAATTTGGTTAACCATTGATAATGTTTTATTGAATAACTCTGTAATAAGTTCAAAAAGAGTTACGCTTCTTGGGCACAGCACTTCCTATCATTGCGTTTGACCATTGAATGAAGTTTCATTGAATTCTAAACATAAGGTTTTAAGTTATGCACCTGACAAGGAAAAGGAACAAAGGGCAATAACTCTACAAATACTGCAGATGGAGTTATGGTTATTGTACACTGCACTTCCTCTCATTGCGCTTGACCATTGTATGAAGTTGTATTGAATTCTCAAGTTATGCATTGGACTAAAAAGTAACAAAGAGCAATAACTGTAATAAGTCCAAATAGAGTTATGGTTCTTGTGCACTGCACTTCATCTCACTGCCCTTGACCATTGTATGAAGTTTCTTTGAATTCGAACCATTAATTTTCAAGCTATGCAATGAACAATAAAAAGAAACAAAGGACAAAAAACCTTTAATGAGTCAAGAAAGAGAAATGGTTTCTGTGCACTGCACTTTCTCTCAATATACTTGACCATTTTATGAAATTGTATTGAATTCCAACTAGTAGTTTACAAGTTTGCTCTGGACAAGAAAAAAGCAATGAAAAAGTAACAAAGGGCAATAACTCTATAATTACTCTGGTCAGATTTATGGTTCTTGTGCACTGCACTTTCTCTTATTGTGCTTGACCATTGTATGAAGTTGTCTTGAATTCCAACTAGTACTTTACAAGTTATGCTCTTGACAATGATAAGTATAAAAGGGCAATAACTCTGTAATTTGTAAAAATGGTGTTATTGTTCTTGTGCACTGCACTTCCACTTAATGTGCTTGATGATTGTATGAAGTTGTATTGAATACTAACTAGTACTTTTCAAGTTATGCTCCGGACAAGGAAAAGTAACAAAGGGCAATAACTCTGTAATTAGTCAAGATGTGGTTATGAGTCTTGTGCACTGAACTTCAACTAAATGTCCTTGATCATTGTATGAAGTTGTACTGAATTCCAACCATTAGTCTTCAAGTTATGTTCCGGACAAAAAAAACAATGGAAAAGAAACAAAGGGCAATAACTCTGTAATTACCTTAGATATAGTTATGGTTCTTGTGCAATGCACTTTCCCTTATTGTGTTTGACCATTGTATGAAGTTGTTATGAATTCCAACCAGTAGTTTTTAAGTTTCGTTCAGGACAAGGAAAAGTAACAAATAAAAGGGCAATAACTCTGTAATTAGTCAAGATAGAGTTATGGATGTGCACTGCACTTCCTCTCAATGTGTTTGACCATTATATGAAGTTGTATTGAATTCCAACCATAAGTCTTCAAGTTATGCTCCGGACAAGGAAAATGCAACGGACGGCTGGACCGACCGACAGAACGACCGACCAACGAGTGACTCCTATATGCCCCCCCCCCCCTTTCTACTTTACATTTAATTCTTTTCTTGTATACGGTCAACGGTAAAATATATTTATCACATATTTCTATCTGTGACGAAGCAATGATAAATTCAGCTTATTCTTAAAGCTTATGGGGTCACTGGTTAATAGAGCGTCGGACTTCAATCACTTGTCACTGAATGTAATTCATACATGTAACGGAATTCCCAACAAATACAAAAATGCGTCCATGGTCACAGTGCCGGAGAATATATGTTACCTCATGCAGTTCTTACATACGGTATCCATTCCAATCAAAGATTTGTACACCATAAATAACACTGTCATTTCTATAGTTAGTCTGACACGTCATTCACGTGTGACGTGTGTAAAACACACTAACAGTAGAAGATTTAACCGATAGGCTGCTCGTTCACGACCTTATATGCACATAGAAAAACCTTATTAAACCGTTCATTTTTCTGCTTCTTCATCATTTTCTAACTCACAAAATAAATCTTATATCCAAATAAAACTAAGCTGAATGTTTTGAAGAAAGTAATAGAAAACATTAAACGGAAGAACCTTATTCAAAACTATGAAAACGGGGATTTAAGAATGATAGCCATTGACAGATAATTAAAATTTGATTATGGGGCACTTTCATATTCATACAGAAGGTTTGTCCTCATAAATGGCTGATTCAATTGTGATGATTTTTTCTTTTTAAATTAAAAAATACTTTGAATGTATGGGTGGCTGGGTAGACCGATAAGCCACAAATTGCACCAAACGATTAAGTTCTTTCAAAGTGATTTGTCTGTTAATAAATCTTTACAATCAAAAAAGATATCTTAATCCTCCCAAAAGAAGCGTTTTAATTATACCCCCGCACAACGAAGTTGTAAGGGGGGTAGGTATACTGGAACAGCTTGTCCGTCCGGACGTTCGGCCGTCCGTCGGTTTTTCCTTGTCCGCCCAATAACTTGAGATTTCTTTGGCCCACAGTCTTCATATTTGGCATGGAGGTCAGCCATGATTAGTTAATGACCCCTATTGATTTTGAGGTCACTGAATTAAAGGTCAAGGTCACAGGGACCTTGCCTTTAAAAAGTTTGTCCGCTCAATAACTTGAGATTCCTTTGACCCACAGTCTTCATATTTTGCATGGAGGTTAGCCATGATTAATAGATGACCCTTATTGATTTTGAGGTCACTTGGTCAAAGGTCAATAACACAGGCGCCTTGACTTTAAAAAGCTTGTCCGCCCAATAACTTGAGATTCCTTTGACCCACAGTCTTTATATTTGGCATGAAGGTTAGTCATGATTAGAAAATGACTCCTATTGATTTTGAGGTCGATGGGTCAAAGGTTAAAGGTCAGAAGGGCTTTGACTAAAAAATATTTGTCCGCCCAAAAACTTGAGATTCCTAAGACCCACAGTCTTCATATTTGGCATGGAGGTTAGTCATGATTAGTAGATGACCCCTATTGATTTTGAGGGCACTGGATAAAAAGTCAAGGTCACAGGGGCCTTGACTAAATACAGCTTGTCTGCCCATTAACTTGAGATTCCTTTGACACACAGTCTATATATTTGGCATGGAGGTAAGTCATGATAAGTAAATAACCCTATTGATTTTGAGGTCACTTGGTCAAACGTCAAGGTCGCAGGGTCCTTGACTAAAAAAACTTTTCCG